ATGAGTATGGGAATTCTCTGGAGGGTTGGATTCCCATGTCAGCTTCAGTCTTAACTATAACTTCTCAATGTCTTTTATTTTTCTTTATGAAGGTGACATGGAGGAAGAAAGAATAAGTGTTGGGTTACAGAAAAGTATGATGCAGGTAAGAAAATGGTATAATGCTCTAAAAGAATACTTCTATTTTATTTGATATCCTGCTGCTATTTTAGAGCACAGGTTAGCAATCCGCTTTTTTTTTTTTTTTTTGGATCACATGGTAAGTATTTTAGGTTTTGAAGGTCATAGAATTTCTATTACATGGAAATTGTCATTTTAATACCAAAAATATTCATAGAGGAACATAAACAAATGTTTTATTGTATTGCAATAAAACTTTACTTACATAAGTAGGTGATAGGCTAGAGTAAGTGCATGTGCTATAGTTTGGTGAGCCCAGGCCACAATACTATGAAACTGAGCCAGCTGTGGGCCTGACTTGAAAGATGTGCAGGCTCTTGGGCCTCTCAGGATTGTGAGGGGTGAAAAAGGAAAAGTTCCCATTTACTCTCTGTTTGTTCATTCATTAAAACCTCATCAAGATTTAAACCTGAGTTTGATGTTGTGCTCAATCCCTAATAGGAATAAAGTAGCAGGTGAAGTTATTCTTGAATAAGGAAGGATTTCTGTATAAGGAATAATATGATATTGTCCAATATGTGGTCTTGGTCCCATATCCTGGCATAGAGTTCCTAAAACCCTTCAAATGTTTCTGGAGTGATAAGAGTAGCTTTGTATGATGACTGGTGACCAGGACAGAGCCTTAGGATGACTGCTGGTCCAGAAGAACTAAGGTATGCTTGACTCCTCAGCCCTATCCACTAACCTTGAAGTTGAGAGGTACTGAAGGTTAAATTGATTATTTAAATTGCTAATTTGAATAGCCATGCTTTTAGTAATTCCTCTGTGAGAACCAAAAAGAATGAATTTAGGGAGCTTCTGTATAGCTGAATATGTAGAGGTTCCTGATACGAGGCACCCCAGTAGGCATGGAAGTTCTGCAGCTTTTCCTACCCTGCTATGCCATATATATTTCTTTATCTGTATAGTTCTCTGTATTTATAACAAAGTATAAGCCCAAGGAAGTGTTTGCTTAGATTCTGTAAGCCATCCCAGCATATTATCCAACTCAAGGAGGGTACAGTGGGGATCCTGAGATGTAGCCATTTGGTCAGAAGTATAAATGACAATGTACTAGTTGTTATGTTGATTGAAGTATAGGCAAGTTTTGTGGGACTGAGCCCTCAACCTGTGGGATGAAGCTGTCCATGTAGATAGTGTAAGAATGTTATTGAATAACAGGAAACCTAGCTCATGTCTGTTGGAGAACTGCTTGATGTGTGTGGAAAATTACCCACATACCTAATATCCAGTGTTCTGTGCAGGTTCGAAGGAAA